AATGGCAGCATTAGGAATGTTTGATGGGTTCTCTGTGGTTGAGAGGAACTGTTGCTCGTCTCATGACTTTGCTGGGTCTCCCCAGCTTTAGCACTCACTGGACTGGGACATGGAAGGGGATGAAAAGACAATCAAACTAAACTTGCTGGAAGTTCCCCTGCTAATTTCATGACAAGCCCCTTGATGGTGTCCCTTGGGCTGCAGCTCCCGCTGGGAGCACAGGCTCCCCTGCCATCCCTCAGGCAGCCAGCCAGCCCTCTGGGCTGCAAGACAGGCAGCCTGCAGACCATGGATGATAGCAGCAACAGAGACTTAAGGGCTGAAAGGAGTCAGAGGATTAGCAGCAAAGGGAGGAGAGCTGGTGTGGTTAAGCATCCCCTGGTAACGATGGAAAGTCAGCTGGCCACCTCGCCAGCATGCCAGTCTGGGAGCAAAGCAGGAGTCCAGCAGGTTTTGTCACGCATTGACAGACTTTTGGCTACAGTCTGGGAGGGTTTTGCTCTGGGGCAGGGAGATGCTGGCATGAAGTGGTCAAGGGCAGTGAAACAGAGTGTGCTTTCCTGCACGTTCCTCCCTTCCCACCCGCAGGTTGCTTTGTGTGGCCAAGGTTGACCACAAAACTGTGGTCAGCCTAAAGCATTAATGGGGAAGGAGCTACTGAGCTTTATGCATCAATTCCCACCAGTCTATGAACAGGAAAGGAAGGAGAAATATTTAGGACCTCCCTCCCATTCCCCTGATGCTTGTTCATTATTAATTATTCTCACTGACTTGCATGGAGGAAAGCTTCAAAACAGCAGACCCACAGAAAAGCTAAAGGCCATTTGGGATCTCAGTGGCACTTCTGAATCCCAGGCTGTGTGCATCCTCTTCTGAGAGAAACAAAAAGCAGTGGATCCTTCTTTTCCAGGACATGCTGTAGGCAAGTCGCTTGAGTTCGGGCAGGCAAGTAAGGACAGGTTAAGCCAATGCATCCTGATGCCAGCACAGGCTTCAGGAATTTTATCTACGGGTTTGCATTTGAGAAACTCAACTTCCTGAGCCCTCATTACTGTACAGTAATTTAGACTGCAGTTATTCAGACTGCAAAAGCAAATGGAGAACGCTGCTGTGCTGTTTTAATACCCTCCTGTGCTCAAAATGCAAACCCTGGACCATTTGGTTGTGGGTGTGCAGAATATGGTGGGAATTCAGAAAAAGCAGGGATTCACATGACATTTTCTCAGTCGACCTATCAAGCTGTCATCTGCTGCCAGCCACATCTTCAGCTTTTGTCTTAAAGGTTGTTCATGTGGGATGCAAACCACTGGCCAGGAAGGATGGGTTGTACGAGGGAAGGGTCTGACTTATTCCTACATAAAATATTATCCTTTGGCTGACACTGTGCATAAAAATTTCTAAGATATCTTTTTCACAGCACAGTGAAAAAATAACTTTTTTTTTAAACTTGCACAAATGCTCAGCTCTGAGTGATTCCAGCCTGTCTTAATATATTTTTTACCTCTGCACAGTCTTATTCCATTATTTCCCATGTGTAAATTGGAAACAGGCAAATTCATATTGCTTTAAAAAACTTGGTTTGAAAAACCCATGTTCATTCTGGTGCCTAAAACTGAGCTGAGCTATTTTGAAAACTATTCTTGGACCAATGAAAGAAACCATTAAATAGATGAACACAAAAACTATTTTTTAAATTTTTAATCATCTTAAAATGTAAATACTCCACATTTTCCCCCCAGACAAAGTTATGGCATATATGCAACAGTTAAATCTAGTTAGTCCCTATGAACTTGTTTTTAAAGGAATACACAGTCCACCTTGGCTAGCGGATGGCTTGAGGAGGCAGGATGGCTCCTTCCTCTCCCATCATCCCTGCTTCCCTCTGCCATAGGCAGTACACCAGGCTTTAGCTCCAACCTTGGCGCCTGCAGGTCACTGACTGGATTTTGACAAAAGGGTGGAGGGTGAGACAGGAAGAAAAGCCCCTTTACTCACTAGTTCACGGTGCCGTACCCCTTGGCTTTAGTAAATCCCACAGAAATGGCAACGACCAAGGCGGGGAGCCCTATGGAAATGAAGCAAGAGAAAATTGGTTATTTAAGCATATGTGCAGCTCTTCTCCCACTCAGCCACATAATATACCCCATTCTTCCCAGTGTTATTCTAGCACCATCTGTCCCAGGCTGGGTCTTTGGCAGAGACTGAATTCAGGACCTTCAGAGCCAAAAGCAAGAACCCTTGTTACCTCTGCTAATGAAGTAAAACGCCATCAGCTGTAATCAGCTCATATCCTGCTGTGGTCTCAGCAGTTGTGTGGGGACTGACAGTATATGCAGATGCATAAAATATATTTACTTTATTCTTAGGCAGGTCAGGAATATATAAAAGTGTCTTCTGAATATGGAATATTCAGCCACAAGTCAAAGGTGGAGATTAAGAGCCATGTTTTCTCTTAACATAAAGTATGATGAACAACGCAGGTTCAAAACTTGCCCCAAATGAAACAGAAATGGAAACTGATTTTCCCTGTCTTAAACATGTCCCCTACATGCTGGGCCATGAGCTATAATAGAGCAGGTCCCTCTGAACAACAATGGAAAAGAGCATCAGAACAACAGGTCTTTCTGCAAAACAGGATGCTACTTCTCTTGGCAGAGATCTGCTCCCTTTTGGCATCCAAAAGTGGAATAAACCATGAGAAAACAGCTGCCCTGAAGAAGACACGTTTCATTACGAGTGTTGCAAAGGATGAGCAAGTTAAGTCTGTGGCTGCCACAATGTACAACGTACAATCTGTCTTCAGAGCATCATGCGCTAAGGGTGCCAGCATGGCACGTGATTTCAGGTGCGTAAGGGGGCGAAGCTACGGCCTTGATCTTACTGCTAGAAGCTCACATAAAATTAAAGTGAGAGGTATAAAGCAAACCTGATGGCTATGGTGCAACCTGCTAGTTATTGGACTAAAACTCCTCAAAAGTGAAGTAGTTGGACCCATGTATGCCCAGGCACAATCAGAACTAGCAAAACACACTACATCCTGCTAATAGTCTTCTGATCCTTCTTATCCCTGCCACGATAAACTGCTCACAGATCTACAGAGAAGATTGGGTACTTTTCCGGTTCACTAGCCCCAGCCCAGCTCTCCCCTTTCCCTAAAGAAATGCCTAGATATTGGCTAGTAACATCTGGTTCTTCAGCTATGGAGGTTTCCATGTGGCTTTTTATAGCCCTCCTCCTTGTGACACGATGAATTAAGTTGTCTCAGTGCTAAAGATGGGCAAATCCCATTAAGAATTATCAGGATCAGTAGCCAGCTAGGATTAGTGCTTCTTGACAAGGCCCTAATTCGTGTGCTGCAGAGGTCATGGCAGGTGACTGCCATGATGCTGTAGAACGAAGGGATGTGCAGACGCAGCATCCAAACAATAACCCTGCTGGCAAGGTGGTCACTCAGCAATACCAATCATGGCAAGATTGATTAACAGTGAGGGTCTGCAGCCAGCTGGGAGGTATAAGGCCAAGCTGGCTGGAATATACAGCATTTGAGAGTTGTCATAAAGGGAAGTGTTTCTCATCCCATATGAGATTTTCAAGCACAGCTCACATTTCATCAGTCCAAAACCAACAGAGGGGTTAAAATATGTCTCTTCTTTCTTTTCTCTTCTTCCTTTTCTCTTCTTTTTTTTTCCCCAAATGACTATTGCTCCTCTTGCCGAGCGTCCTTCGCACCTCATCTGGATATATCCTGGGTGCTGTATTCACTATGATGCCATCAATATGGCATCCCATGGCAAGCACACCAAGAAACCACATGTGAAAGGACTTTTTGCAAGGAGCTTGATGCAAGAGGGCCTGTGATAGAGGAAAGTTGGCTAAGACTCCGCCAAAAATAGCAACTTGTTCTTCGCAAAGTGCTCCTCTTAGACGTGATAATTATGCAGAAATACAGACTCGGGCTGTGAACTTACAGGGACTGGCTCATCCCAAGCCTGGGAAGGAGCCCCAGCTTGTGCTGAAAATGGATCTGTACAAGCAGCATTTACTGAAGGTGGTAGCTGTGACACGGTAGTTAAGCCAAAGAGCATCATAATGAGGGGTGCTATACTCCTCCGCCTTGGAAGAGCTGTTAATGGTCTGATCACAGTTAGGTGTGATTAGATTGAAAAAAAAAAATCAAAAATTTTAATCTATTTTTTGATTATTTGAAAGAAAGTTATTACTAACTGGTCTGTTCTGTGTACTGTGTGTGGTAACTGCCTGCTACGCAGTCTCTAATGCTACGCAGTCACTGGGACTTTTGGGGGCTTTCTGCCAAAAGCGAACTTTCATAGAATCACAGGATGGTTTGGGTTGGAAGGGACCTTAAAGATCAACTAGTTCCAACCTCCCTGCCATGGGCAGGGACATCTTCCATTTTACATTCACAATTCCAAATAAGTGCATTAGGAACCTGTTTCAAAGCATTCTGTACTGCCAGGTCAGAGGAGAATCAGGTCATGTGTTCATCATGTCCCACTTGAAAAGGTTGTTTGCTAATAACTACCAAGAGCCATAACTGTTATGAACAACTGAAGACACACTCGCAGCCTGAGCTATGGCAGCATTAAAAATCAAGTTGTGGAAACTATGATATGGTCATTAAAGGACTGACAAAATTATTTCTTCTTTACTGGGGTTAAATACGATGACTGAATTGTTCCTAGGGAACAGTCATCTGTTCTAAATAATAATAATAAAAAAAAATAATTGCTAGAAGCACTTTTCTGGAAAGGCAAAGTTGCAGACCCAAGAGGAGAACAAAAAACCAGGGAGTAAGCCTCACTGCTGATAAAAAATACTGTAGTTTCAATGAGCTACAGCTGACAACAGCTGAGAACTTGGCAAAGACGTCTAGAACAAGGGTTTAGAGTAATGCTAATACGCAGAGGGGGACAAGGGGAAGAATCAGCCCATGACAAAGTAAATTGTGCTAATTATTTCAGATTATGTTCTTTAAAACGTATTTTGGGCCTCTTTCCTCTTGCAAGTGTCATTAATCCCAGCTCTACAGCTGAAGTCTAGCAGGATGCTAAATATCAGAAATTCCCTAGCTGCCTTAATAGGCGAGAGTATTCTTCATTTCTTGTCCTAACCTATTCCAAATGGTTATTATGCATCATTTATCATCCCAGCTCAGAGATGACTACATTTTTACTAGCAGTGCAAATTATGCTTCTACACATGTAAGGTGTTTTTATTTAATCTGTACAGACTACAAATGTGAGTGATGCTCATCTCAAATTCCCTTGGCTAACACCCCCATCTGTCCCAGCTTTGACAAATCAGAAAAATCCCTTTTTATTACCTAGGAAAGCTATTAGTCTGTTGCATCTAATACCCCTGATGTTCCCTGAGTCACAGAGCGAGCGTGCATCAACATACGCATGAACACACACAGGTGCATGCAGCCTGTGCTCTGCACGCACGTGGCTATGCTCCTTCTACACACAAACACTCTATTTCAAAAGCACAGTTTATTTTCTATAGTAAGCAAAAGCTAGGAGTGAAAACTTAAAGGGATGCAGGTGCTGGAACGAGAACAGCTCTTGATGTGCCAGAATAAATCATATCAGGGTGCTTCGTAAGCACTGGAAGTAACTTGCCTGGGTGAAATGCTAGACTTCAGTAGAAAAACGAGACACTAATACAGCTCAGAGGCACAACACTTTCTCTCTCCCTTTCTCATTTTTTGACTGTTTGCTTTTGAGCAACTTTTTGTTCAGTGGCTCCCTTCAAACGCATGCTTGTTACTGCTTTGAAAGCCCAGGTTATGGGATTGTGTTTGTTTTCTACTACAGAATGCATCATTTAAGGCTAATAAATTAAACATACAGAGGAGGCAGAGGGAGAAAAATTAGTTACAAGCATCTGTACCAGTCTCATAGTTTATTTGTCTACGAAAGGCCGTGCTGCCATGGAGACGGGATTTCAGAGCTTGCTTCACTCCGAGTTGCACATGGAAGGAGACAGTGACAGAGAGAAAAGGAGAAAGCAAGAAGGAGACCCAAACCCAGGAGAAACCAACCCCAGCACACCCTTTGAAAACTCAACCCCTCTTGACCCATCTATTCTGTGTGACCCCTGGGGGCACTGGGCTGCAGGCAGGACTTACGGCTCTTGCTCTTGCTATTTTTTAACCATCTCAGCACCAAAAGGGTTGCAAACACCCTCTGCCAAGCCTTCTGCAGAGCATCAGTCCCTTTTGTAGCCCAGAGCCTCTCTGCTCCACATCCCAGAGTGGGCACAGTGCTTTCCCCTCATCCCTGGGGGAGATGCTCTGCAGATCCAGGATCCTCACCCCATCCGAGACACAAGAAGCGCTTGCGGATGATGCGGTTCCGTAACCGGCCCGTCACGGCCATGTAGGACTGCCAAGCCTCGGTCAGCACCCAGCAGAAAGAGGAGAGGAAGAAGAAGTGCAAGAAAGCCGCCACCAGCGTGCATATCACCTGGAGAGAGGAGGAAAGGAGGACACGTGAGAGGAGCAGCAGGTGGAGAGAGCAGCATGTAGGAGAGCAGAAGATGCAGGGAGATGCTTCCAAACCAGGCTCTGGAAGGCAAGGTCATGGAGATCAGGACATGTCAAAGTCATTTCAGGAGGAGGCAGTCTCCCTACAATCTTTGACCCAGCAAAGGACTAAAACGTTTGCTTCAAATTTAAGTGCTGCATGAAAATTGGCTGCTCGTAAGCATGAGTTCTACGATAAGCCCGTGGGTAACACTTTTGCTGATGTCTGAGCCCACGTCCCATCCTGGTGCTTTCTTGGCTTCAGCAAGTTATTTTTATTTCCCAAATGATCAAAACTATTGCCACGATTCTTTCGGGGAGGCCGGAGCAGTTAGTAAGCCATGCACTAATCTCAGCTCAAAAGGTTTGCAAAGCACCACGTTGTTGGCAGCCGAGCCATAGCAATGAAATCGGAGGGAGGCAATCCCGACGGTGTCCCTGCCAGGGAAGGATCGCCGAGTGAAAGAGTTAAGCCGTGAGAGTCGGGTGAAGCCACGGCTGCCAGGGGCTGGTAAAGACAGCAAACAGGAGTGGCGTGTAGTTGTCCAAGAGCATATAACTATTATGAGACAGGGGGAAAAAAAGAGGGGGGGTGGGTGGGAAAAGAAACTACATTAGAAAGAATTTCGTAACGGTGAGTTCTACTACTCGATGGGGAAATCTCTGAAGGGAAATGCAGGCAGCTTAAGCCATTTAAAATTAAACCAGGGAAAGTAGTAGCAAATGCATTATGAAGAACAATCCTGTAGTGCCAGGGAGATGGACTGGAAAGCTGACAAGCTCGTCTTTGTTTTTAACTCAGCAAGGCCAAATCTTTCACTGGTGCAAATTGGTGCCGCTCTGTTTAACTCCGCCAGAGCTGTGCTTAATTTCCACCATCTGTGAGTTGGAAACCATGAATCAATGAACTCAAGAAGAAAATGATGGAATGAAACTCCAGTGGCTCCCAAGGAGAAGGGAGAGCAAACAGACTTTGAAAGTGAGGAGATGAAAAAAATGGCTTAAAGCATTCAGGGCAGGGGGAGGGGGAGGTTTATAATGAAGAATTTCTCTGCTTTGCGTTATATCAGGACTTTGGGTTTACGGTCAATGAACCTTCCTCTTTTTTCATCCACCAGCATCTTCTGACACAGAGCTCTCATGCACGGAGTGTCTTTTATCATGATTTTATCGGATTGCTCTCGATTCATACACTGGCACAAACCGACGTTATCAGAGGTTGTGAATAAAAGTAAGACTGTCTGAGAGAGGAACTGTCTTTTTGTTCCATATTTCAATTTCACATAAAACCCCTTGGCATTCTGCCTATAGACGGATTCTGGATGACAGTTCAATTCAAATAACACAGCTCAATACAATAATTTCAAGTAATTTTCACATTTTAAAAGAATCCTAAAAAGGTGGTTGCTATTCACCAGCTTACATAAAACAGTTACAAACATAGGATGCTCTCTGGAATGTATTTTAAGAGATTGTTATTTTAGAACATTTTTTGGCCAACGTCAGATATGACACTGTTCATTTTACTGTTTTGATTCTGATCTGCACCAACACGGTTCTGCCCAGTCTGCCAGCAGTTGGTAAAGGGGAGAGAAGAACTTTCCTTTCCAATTTTACAGCACAAAGGTACATTTTCCAGGTAATTTTTCTCAGTCATGTACTTTTGACAGAAAGGAAAGCAGAAAAGAGGAGGGGAGCACAACAGAAATATGCACATTTCAGCTGGGCCAGTTGCCTCAGCTGAACTCAGGCTGTGAAGTTGGACAGCTGATGGGCAGGCACATAGTTGCTTCTGCTACATCTGCTCAACATTTTCCTTCCTTGTAAGGCAAAAGGCTTCTCCATGAAGGCCTAAGCACAGGGATAGGATGTCCCAAGCTGCTGCACAAAGAGCAGAGCTCGTCAGTCTGTCAAAGCCATTAGGCCTTGTTTTCCTTTAAGAGGAGAAATCTGTTTCCTTGCTGCGAACAGCCATGCCTTTGAGACACGGCCAGTTTGTGCAGCATTCATTTCTTTTGTATCACGTTATTGCTGACTGCAATTTTTTAGCCTTTTCCCAGGCCTTTCATCTTCAAAAAGCTTAGCAAATCCAGGCGTGGAATCTTGCCTTTGAGGTTACACGGATGGAAATCAAGGGAGAATTTGGCATTTCCAGGGAAACGAATACCGTAGAAATTCTCCCAGAGTAACTGCAATTATAAATCAATCACTAACATTATAAGACGCTCCATTATCAATAATTGAATGTGAATAAAATCCTAATTTACACTCACTCTGTATAGTTTCCTTTCTCTGTTCCCTGCCAGAGACTGTTTACTAGATGGCTGAGCGGAAATCCAAGAATAACCTTTCTATTTACAGTGTTTCATGCATATGTATGTGCAAAGAGCTAATCTGCCTCATGTAATCACAGCCGTGAGCTTTGAATCCCCACTAACAGCTCTGATGGTGAACACCCAGAGTAACGTGAGAAAAAGCACGAGGGAGAACCTGGGCTCACAACTGCTCTCAGAAGGGCTGGGAGAGGGTGAAGACACCCACCTTCTGTCCTGGGGTGGAGAAAAATAGCCAAGGAGGAGGTCCAGGCATCGTTTTCCATGTTAAGCATCCTGCAGTATTTCTTTCTACGGAAAGAAGCTCCTAGCACACACTTGGGGCTGCAGACAACGCGCCCAGGGAAAGCCGGAGCTCACCCTTTCTCCACCTCTGGCCAACCAGGTTGGCCATGATTGACACTCTGCTGTGCAAAGTTAGTTTCTGAAGGGCACTTGTTTAAGAGAAGCAGGGCTGGCTGGCTGCATGTCCCTGCACTTCTCTACACATGCATGACTCAAGCAGCTGTAAAGCTTTCCCTAAACCAACCTAACCCTAACCCAAAGGGCCTCCATAGAACTGAGTCTCTGATTCATTCAAACCTGGGGTTTCTCTGCAGAAATGTCTCCAAAAGTGACAGCATGTTCTGGCTGCCAAAGTAGGTCTTGAAAAAAACTGGCCTGTCACTGTTTACTGTTTATTAAAAATTGAATTTTGACCTCTGATTGCAATTTTGGCAGCAGGAGTAGCAGAGGATGCTTCTTGCCTCAGTTTTCTGCAAGGCAGAGTTAGGTTGGAGCAGTTGGGGAGTCATAAAAATGTACAACAGGACGGTACTACTGACGAGCAGTGACTGGTTATGCCAGACACCAACGGAGACACCGAAGGTACTTGAGAGAAAAGTCTGACTTTGGAGAAAAGTCAGACAGGCAACACGTGCCTCTCCAGCTGGGCCTGTACCGTGGGAAGGCGTGTACATGCAAGCGCCCTGAAAATCCATGGTACGTCTTGTCTTTACCTCTCGAGTCGCTCTGTGATCTGCAGTGAGCTCTTCAAAGCCTACAGCTCTGCAGCGTGCACAGTGCATCTGGCAACACTTCCTACCCCCCAAAAAAGGTGTTTTTTTTGTGGCTGTGCTCCTTAACATCTGCCAAGCACTTCAAACTCAGAGTATAAAAGTTGCTGAAGAAATAAATGCAAAGCTGAGATGTTGTGTGGGTTTTTTTTCTAAAGCCTTTTCTCAATCTTTCTTTGTAATTTTTGGAAAAAAAATGGTTAAAGCCTTGCAAATAACCATGTTTCTTCACCGTGCCATGTGCCAGCTACTTTAGGCAGATATTAAAAAATCTCACATTGGTTTTAATCAAGGCCCTGAGGATGCTGACAAATTATCAAAGAGAGAGCGAGAGAGAAAATTGAAATCTGCCATTTAGTCATGTCTTTGACATGTCGCTAATTAACAGATGGAGGAAGAATGAGGAAGCGCTGCCTGAATGGATCATTTCAGTGCTAAATCAAGGGAAAAGCAAACAAACAAACAAAGCCCAACTGATCTCCTACCTTATTCCGGGTCTGGGTCTGTCCGATCAGGATGAGTGCATTGGAGGAGATGATGGATAGGCAGAAGTTGATAAGAATGACAGAGCGCTCTGAGCGAATATACCTGCAGCAAGAGAAGAGGGGGAGGGAGATCCACCCTGTTTACAACTTCATTAAGTTATCTCTGAAAAGCATCAACCAGGTGCAGGTTGCACTGGGCCAGGATCTACAGAACGCCTTGGCAAGAGATTGCCCATTTCCTGCAGATCTTTTATGTTAAACAGACAAGAACAAGGGGGAAAGCGAGGCGGGGGGGCTTGGGTGTAGTGCTCATCCCACAGATTTCCCCGTTTTCCCCCATCAATGCTGGAGTTATGAGCACGAGTCAACAAACTAGCGGCCAGCCTGGTCCCAAGTCTGAGCCGCTGCTAAAACAGTAGAGTGCTGCAAGTCTTCTTCAGCTCTGCTTACTTGAAAGGAGACTTGAAAAGGAGTTTAAAAGAAAACATACAGGCAACACATGGAAAGATTCCCAAAATAGAAGAGCCACAGGCATGCTGGCAATGAAAGCAGATTACAAATGCATGCACCTGCACAACGAAGTGTTTGTGATTCAGCATTCCCCTTTGTTTAACCTAACACCCCACCCTGAAGTGAGAAGTATTTGTGGTTTTTCACATTTTTTTCCCCAGAGGGGAGAGGTTTAACGCTTCTCCAAACTAGGCCAAATATGTAACTGCAGCTGAGGGTCTGGAACATTAGGGATCCGAGTCAGGAAGCTGTTGCCTTCAGCACCTTGCAGGAGCAAGCTATTTGTCGTTTCTGATTTGCGACGTGCAGCACATCACCAACTTGCTGCTGAGGTATGTGTACAAGAATTAATTCAAACCACTGGCTATGGAGGAAAATTTAATTGAAGGCACTTTTATGTCCCTAATAAAATTAAAAGGGAATTTCAAAACTGCAAGCCCTCAAGGATTAACTCAGGACCTGTCCATACCAACACTCATACACGTGAATGATCTCAGTGATTTGGCAAGTGCCCCCACTGAATACCAGATGAGTGAAGAGTAGACGCTGATGCTTATAGAAATTAGGAACAGATCTATTAATCAACCAGCTCATCCCTGGAGGCTAATTCAGGATTATTTCCTATATTCCAGCACATCAACTATTTATATTGGGAATTTAATTTCATTAACTAATTTTAGCAGGAGTGAGTTGCTCGTGCTTTGGCTGCAGAGTTTTAAGCTTCTGACTAGGTGGGCAGGACAAGTTTACTGCACGTGTGTTCTGCCAAGGGTAAATCTGTGCTTTAAACCTACTAAAGGCTGCAAAACTTTGATTTTAACTTCTCTCTGCTTTTTACCTTCTGACAAATGTGAACGCTGAAGATACGCTTTCCTGGATACAAAAAGGTCGCTGATGCAAAGTAGCCTGAACTTATACCTGTTGGAAATCTGGTGAATAGGTAGTTCTCCCCGAAACAGACCCAACCCCAGAACAGACTACAAACTTTAGGCTACAAGCACATCTAGAAACCGGGTTGGCTGCCTGGAAAATGAGCCTCTGGTTCCTCTCATGACCAATCTGATCTCAAATTACCCCATTTTATTGGGCTCAATACAATTCTGTGCATCACCTGGATCCTATTCCATTTGTGACTGGAGGGTGCCAAACCATCAGTCTATGCTTTGTGTGAAGTAAAACATCAAGTCTCCAGTCAGCAGCTTCTAGGGGATAGAAAGGGAGATTTGGACTCTGTCCTGGTGGGCATAAGATGTAATAAATCCATGTCGGAAAACTATTATCCAACTGGTATTAGCATGCACTTCAAAAGTGTCCTCTGGTCAAGAAAGGTAAGACATGAGTTGACCATAAGTATAGTCTGTATGTCAATGTAAGGGAAGATAATCCAGCTGTCTTCAGACTTTTTACCCCCTTAAACACGCCGCTCCTTTCTCCATGCTTCCCTTCATACACTGAGAGACCATCCTGCTCCCCAGATCCCTGAACCTCCAAAGAACAAGGCATGGGCTGGCAACATGTAGAATGACAGAATAATTTAGTTTGGGGAAAAACCTTTTAACTTCCCAGTCCAATCCTCTGACCCCCAGGTGGGCTCATTTCAAAGTCAGACCAGGCTTCTCAAGGTCTTGTCCAATCAAGTTCTGAAAATCACCAAGAACAGACGTACCACCACCTCTCTTGGATGACTTGTTACAGTGCTTAACTGCTCCCATGGTGAAGGATTATTTTTCTTTATATCCAGCTGGATTTTTTTCCTGCTGCAGCTGGTGCCTCTAGACTTTTTGCTATATATCTCTGCAAGTTGTTTGATTTGTCTGTCGTTCCTCCTTAATAGCCTCCTCTTCTCCAAGCTAACAAAGCCGTATTCCCTTTGCCTCCTTTTACATCATGTTCTCCAGCTCCCTAAGCATTCAGTTGACTTGGTACAATGTGCTGAAAACTCTTGACCTGGAGGAATCCAATACTGGCCACACTTTTCCAGATGTCAAGAGTGTCAAGCAGAGGGGAATGATTAATTCCCTTGACTTTTTTGTCTATATTCTTGCCTATATAGCCCAGTATAATGTTGTTCTTCATTGCTGCAAGGGTGAACTGCTGATTCATATACAAATCATCTCAGTTCTGACTTCCCTAATTCAATCATAGAATCATAGAATGGTTTGGGTTGGAAGGGACCTTAAAGATCGTCTAGTTCCAAACCCCCTGCCATGGACAGGGACACCTTCCACTAGACTAGGTTGCTCAAAGCCACATCCAACCTGGCCTTGAAGACATCCAGGGATGGGGCATCCACAACATCTCTGGGCAACCTGTTCCAGTGCCTCACCACCCTCTCTGTGAAGAATTTCTTCCTGATATCTAATCTAAACCTCCCTGATTTCAGTTTGTACCCGTTACCCCTTGTCCTATCACTACAGGCTCTTGTAAAAAGTCGTCTCCCAGTACCCTTGTAGGCCCCCTTCAGATACTGGAAAGCTGCAATGAGGTCTCCTCGGAGCCTCCTCTTCTCCAGGCTGAACAAGCCCAGTTCTCGCAGCCTTTTGTCATAGGAGAGGTGCTCCAGCCCTCCGAGCATCTTCGTGGCCCAACTCTGGACTCGCTCCAAGTGGTCAATATCCTTCTGATATTGAGGGCTCCACAGCTGGATGCAGTACTCCAGGTGGGGTCTCACCAGAGCAGAATACAGGGGCAGAATCCCCTCAATCCCAGGCAACACTTCCATAGTCTTCCTTGGTAGCCTGACCTGGCTATCAAACACTTGCTTTTACATTTCAGTTCAATCAGGAGTTCCCTACTGCACTAAGACGGCCTCCTGCCATGCTTGCTTTTTTCCTTCCATTTCCTCTTCTCCACTGCAGGATGTGGGTAGATTAGCGGGTAGATTTAGACTGGATATCAGGAAAAAATTCTTCACAGAGAGGGTGGTGAAGCACTGGAACAGGTTGCCCAGAGAAGCTGTGGATGCCCCATCCCTGGATGTCTTCAAGGCCAGGCTGGATGAGGTTTTGGGCAACCTCGTCTAGTGGAAGGTGTCCCTGCCCATGGCAGGGGGGTTGGAACTAGATGATCTTTTAAGGCCCCTTCCAACCCAAACCATTCTATGATTCTATGCTCCACAGAAAGAAATTGTAATTACTATCCAGAATCTCTAGGCAAAGTAGTCAGGAACTTTCATCAGAGAAGGAAAAAACACAGAATTTGATGGGTTTTGCCAGAGGAGTGATCTCCAGCAAAGGCAGAGCTACCCCAGGGTGCTGTCTTGCTGCCTGTTCGCTGATACACGGACCCTGCCTACTTATCAAAACATGCTGTGCTCAGCCACCAAAGCAGAGGAAAACTCACTGCAAATCTAGGGAACTTCTGCTCTGGCCTGGGTCCTGCAGGATGTGGGGAAACCCTGTGCAAACTGAGACAGATGGAGAAAGTGGGAAAACCCTGCAGTCTGTCTCTCTGTCCCCACTACGCTCCCCTCCTCTCCGCAAACACTGAGTCACTCTTGCTTTCTCACCGTGCGTACACACATCCTTCTCCGCGCCGTCACTTACTCATTCCTGAAACCGAGTGCTTGGTATCTCCAGCAAAGGCAGAGCTCCTGCCTTTAAAGCAAGTGTTAAAAGCCTCTTGAGAGCTCATTGACAACCACTAAATCAATCCTCTGGCTTTGATGGGCAGGGAGTGAGAAAAGCTCGCACTGATACCTTTCAGCGATACGGCACTCACTCAGCCGCCGTCAGTGCAAAACCTCTGCCGTGCCCCACATGCTGATGGGCTGGTGGAAGAGCTATTCGATAGCAAGCATTGATCTCCATGCTATGGAAAGGTCACTGACTCCAGAGGCTGTGGAATCGCAATGAGTGCAGGGATGGAAAACACATTGGGGCACTCCTGACACACCACCATGTCAAGGAGCTGCTTGAAAGGAGTGGTACAAACCAAAGCTTAGAGAAACACGGTACTAAGTCATTTCATCTGTTCTGACCCTTGAATAATTTCTTTTCTCCCCAGTTTTTCACTCTCATGTCCGTTTTCAAGAGTGGGGTGTTTTTCTCTTTCAATTCCCTCTCTTTTTCCACATGAGTGGTGGAGCACGTGGCCCACACACAGATCGTGTCGCTCGCTGTGACCCAGGACAGCCACTGCCGAGTTGTAACAAGGTCACTCCACTTCTATGACCCACTGTGTCACTGACCTCTCTGTCGAGACTGCTAATAAGGCCAGAGATGCACCATCTGCAGCGGAGTTTTTGCAGCCATCTGTCTACTGGGAACTGGAGTGAGTCCACCAACAGGCCACCAACAGCCATCAAACAGAAACAGCGTCCAGCTTTCAATGAGACTGTGCCAAGTTGGCTGTGTCTGAAGTGATCGCTCGCATCAAAAAACTCATGCCGTTCGTGCCGATGGCTGCGTAGGTGCCACTAAGAAGCAACCATTATTTGGGGGTTTTGAAAAGGAAGGGGAGGGTAAATCCATTTCCTCTCTGATATTGCAGCCCAAAGAGGGGATCACCTCCCTTCTACTCTGCCCTCTTTTCTTTACAATGTTCCCTTCCCTCTTTCTCCCCCTCCCTTTCTTTCTGCTACCCATACATAAACAAACCCTAGCTGGGCAAAATTCTGGGAAAATTTCCAGATTGTCAGCCTCAGTGAGCTTATTCATCAGAAGTGTTTCATACTCAAGCTGAGCCTATGTATGCATGCTCCAGATGTCTTTGTCCAGAGGTCTGAATGGGAAATTTCCCAGCCAAAGCTCCCTGAAACAGCTGAGCTCTGCTGAGTGCTCTCCACAGAAGACCAGGCAGCTAGGCCATGAGGATTTTCTCCTCTGCCCGGTGAGAAAGGACCTCTTTGATACGGCTCTTGTATGTTATCAACAACAGCTGGAATAATACTGCTGATCCCACTTCTGAGCATTCCTCCAGCTGTTGTCTATCAGACTATATAACATCTAGGGCAAGACAAAGTGAGAGCCTGGAGATAATGTTGACTTGACTATGATGTTCCTGAGACCATTAATACGACAGCACATTCATGTCCAGCAGCTATGCCTAAAATAAAAAGGACACACAGAGTGCTCAGGGCTCAGCCACAGGAATGCTGTGAAGTTTAGAAAACATGAAAACATGATCTACAGAGAAGAAATGAAACAAACTCAGCGCACCAAAGAGAAATTCTAGAGATCACTTTATCATGCTTTACAAATATTTGCACAAAGAGACTTAGGATAGAGAGCCCTATAATCAAGATATAGCTGGTCTCAGGATCACTTGGAAATACATATCCATCCTTGGCTAGCTCAGAAATGCCCATTCAAGCCTCCCATAAACATGTTCCCCCATTCATGTTGATCATTTTGGGCACAGGCATAACGCAAAGGCTGGAATGAGAAATTAAAAAGAGCGTATTTTAAACAGGGCAGGCAATTAACTTTACTGTCCTCAATAACAGTAAATATTGAGGGGCACACTCCTGGAAGAAAATACATCATGTTATTCCAAATGACTCTGGCATGCTCCAAACTGATTGAACCTCGTGTCTCAACTTGGGTTTCAGATCCTGAACTTGTAGGAAAAAGAGGGTGAGGCTCGAACACTTGCTCTTTACTCCTCTATCCTAACTTTCCACTTGATCCTGACACCAGTGACACCAGTAAGTCACCTACCAGCGCTGCCCAGTGCTGCCCAGCCTGAGGAAAAGCAGGAGAGGACAAGGACTTGAGCAGATCCAATGATACCCCAGGCACGGAAAAACCTGAGTTCTAGATAAATGTTATTATGATCAGTCTTCAGCTCAGAGCACTTGCCATAATTAACTACCCCCTATGCACTGTCACAGTATCAACAAAAAAAGATGCATTTTTGCTCATTTTTTACTCTCTTGTTTCTTTCCTCTGTTAAAGGGTAGAAAAAATTATCTCAATTCACAACTCTGAACTGAATTTACAATTTCTTCCCTACTAAGAAGAATCACCTGATAAAATAAGAGCCTCAGTCCCTTCTATAAGGGTCACCAATAATTTCCAGACAGCATATTCTCTGTAGCCACTCCATTTCAATTTCCCAGGCATGTACCTGGTTCGGATTTTCTTTATTTTATTTAGCTTGGAGTCATAAAGCTCTCAGCATGTTTGCCATGGGTTTAGGAAAGGCATGGGTCTCGTAGTGTAAACTCAGACCTTGTTCAGTGCAGTATAGGAGGAGAATCTCTCGCACACCTTGGGTCCTCCAGCTTACAATGCCCACCAAAAACGTATCTCAACAGGGTCGTGGGCCTTTCTTCAATAAACTTTGCCACAAAACCACTTCAGCTTCTACAAATGATACAATTCAAGGTTGCACCTGACCTGCTTATAGGTGTACAGGAGCTCTCTGCACTGGGATATACTGAGGAATCCCATATGCATCCGAAGTGAAAGGCAAAACGTAGGTAAGAGGTGGAAGAGTTATTTAGGCCATGTGGCATATCATCCTTAAACTCCTGAAAAGTGTCGTCAGTTCTTCAGGCCAGATGTTTTCCTAACGGGACATGGATGTTTTGATGTTATCAAGGACCCAACTGGGAATACTTTGAAGCAATCTGCCCGCCAGGAGGCAGTGCGCATCCACCTCTCCATGAACAAGGTTTCCCGGGGTATATGAAGGCATCTAAAACAGCACACAGCTTTTGAAAATGGAACAATGCGACTACATGGGGTCATGGCACTAATTTCACTGTACTAATTCCTCTGGCACTAAAAGGAAAGAATAATGCCAACTAAGCCACCATGATGACTTTTTGAAGGACCCACTCATTACAAATCAGTTCTTCCTCGGACACCAGACACCCAAAGCAGGAGAGCAAAACCTCCAGGATCCATGTAGATCAAGAGACAGTTACTTTCCCCAACAAGAAGAGAAGAGAATGAAAGCCATACCTCCAAACAGAGACATAAATGATAATCAACAGCAAAAGTGTCAGCGAAGATACTCCACAGCCTACAATTAACGTGACAGAAGGGACCAGCACCTTTTCCATGTTCTGAAAGAAAGAAAGAAAGACATTAAAAGAAAAGGAAACAAAAAAGATGCTCAGCAAATGCCACCAGCTCAATTCATGGCATGAACTTCACTCCTAATTGTCTGCGTGTCAACTCACTTGACTATTGCACTCAACATACAATTAAAGGGGAAAGAAGTCCAGGATCTATTTCTGGCTGACTCAGCCTTTTTTTGGACCTGATACTGCTCCCACACACACCAGTGTTAAGATTGGATAACAACATTGCTATCCATGGCAAGGCAAGTGTGTAAAAGGTGTGGGTCGCAAGGCTCAGACCCTTCGTATCCAGTGTAAAACTGAAAATAATTAATGAGGCAATAGCAGAAGGAAGTGCCTACACTATGATAATTACAAATGAGCTCTTCTGGGAATGACAGTGGTGAAGGTTGGAGGATGAAAAGAAGGTGAAAATCTCCTACTAACTACAAATATCCATCTGAAAAGGAAGAGATGAAGCAAGAAAAGAAAACACAAAATGTATATCATCCTCAGGGACCCAGCATCTGGTCATACCATCCGTCATTTCACTGCTCGTGCACTGCTACTACACAAGGCATTTCTTCATGTGCTAGGGTCCTTACTGGAAAAGCTGGTGTGGAATGGTTCTCCTTTCCAGTCTGAACATCAAAGATCTGCTGATCATCAGCTCTTGCAGCACAAAGGACAAACACGCATGCTATAACCTCTCCTAATCTTGTTCTCTGGGACTAACTGTGTAACTAGAATCATGGAATCATAGAAT